TCAAGAGAAGTCGGATCAACAATGTACGGATTTCGAGAAGATTCCACTATTGTGTCTCATGTAAGCAAAAAAATAAAGCCACAATACTCATATCTTCTATGCACCACAGAAAATATTGTGATCCGGAAACACAGAAACCGGAAATAATAGCCTATTACAATGCTAATAAAGGTGGAGTTGATTCTCTTGATGAAAAATGTTCGAAGAGTACCTCAAGTCGCCGTTCGCGTAGGTGGCCACTGGTTATTTTCTACCGACTATTGGATATATCGGTAGTGAACTCGTATATTTTACACCAGTGCTATAAGAAAAATGAATTGCAGAAGGAAAAATCGGTATTTGCTAAGATGTTGGCCGCTAACCTGGTCCGTGAGCATATGGAAAAGCGACTAGAGAGTCCCCGTTTACCTCGGGATTTGCGACTTACGATAAATCGCATCCTTGGCAAATGTGAACATCCAGCAACAGAAGCTGAAAATTTGGTTTTGGAAAAAAGGAAAGCCTGCTTTTTATGTCACCGAACGACCCATCGGATGCCCAAATTTTTGTGTGTACAATGTAGGAAGCCTGTATGTCTTCAATGCTCCAAACCCAAATGTATTAGCTGCATAAATATAGGCAATGTTTGAGACTTGCAGTGAATTTTGATTGTGTTCTTTTTGTATTTATTGACTATAATATACTTTCCTTGTTCATTACTTAACTAAAAAATAGAAAAATATTGAGACTTTTCCATAGTTTTAATTTAGTTTCTGAATGTTGCAACAACATTTTTGTATGGTTTTAGCATAGTTAATAAAAATGTTTCTTTTATGTTCTTGTATCATTTTGAAATGAGCATTTTACGTATTAAACACATAAAATAAACATCCAGTTTCAGCGAAGTTATTGCTTGCTTTTCGCCTTACTCTAATTTTTTGAACATCTTGAAGTTCGCAGTCTGAGAGACGGCATGTTTCCTTTTGTGTTCCAAAAATTCACGTTTCCTGTTAAGGGTTAACGCTCAAAGGATCAGACACGAGTACTTAGCCCTTTCCTTTCTACTACTACTACTACTACTTCTCTTTTTCGTATCTCTTACTTCGGGTGAAGAATAAGACCAGGCGTTTATTTTACCCCCGTCTACTTTAAACTGTGTTTCCGTCGTTCTCGCTTGGATTTCAATCTGCACCCCATCGAAGTAAGCACACTTTAGGCAAAGATGTGCCTTCCTGACTTGATTCTTGAACCCCAAAGCAACTATAAAATTCCTATATCAAGCCGCATGCTGTCGTTACTTTACCTTTATACTAGACTAAACTAATAGCCTCCTCAGGAATGTGTTTACAAAACCTTTAAAAAAATAATATCGGAGCCTAAAACCACATTGTTCACACAAAATGCAGTTTGCATTATCCAAACAAATGCATGGTTTCGAGTTTGTTTTTTTTTTGGTTTATCTCCATCACTCTACAATGAATAAATTCCTAGATGAATTTAAAAATATGTTCAACCAACTCCTACAACAAAACAGTCTGATCCTCAATATGATTGCCACAAAATCAATTAAAATGGCCAATTTTCTAAGAATTGCCCAGTGGAATGCCAATGGTCCTCCTAGTCATAAAGAAGAAGTTAAATTGTTTTTACAGCAAAACTATATAGACGTCCTACTAATCAGTGAAACACATTTCACTGAAAGAAGCTATTTTTCTATACCCGATTATATACTTTACAGTACAAATCATCCCGATGGTACAGCACATGGAGGAGCTGCACTACTTAAAAAAACAATCAAACACCACGAAATGGCTAAGTATGAAGAAAAAAATATCCAGGCAGCATCTGTAAAAGTAAACAGTCTTCCTTACGATATAACAGTATCAGCTGTCTACTGTCCACCACGTCATAACCTCAAAAAAGAGCAATTCAAAAATTTCTTTATAACTCTTGCTCCAAAATTCATTGTTGGGGGGGACTACAATAGCAAGCATACCACATGGGGCTCACGGCTCACAACAACAATAGGAAGAGAACTGATACAAGTCATATTAGAAAACAACTACACGTTTATTTCACCAGAAGCACCTACTTATTGGCCTACAGATGTAAACAGACTTCCCGATCTTTTAGACTTCTTCATAACCAGTGGCATATCTTCATCTTATACAGAAATATCTTCAAGCTTTGACCTCACATCAGACCATAGCCCAATTACCCTAACTCTGAGCACAGCAGTGATATGTAAGAAACTCACTCCAAGATTGCATAATAACAAAACAAATTGGGATAGATACAAACAGATAATTGTAGATAACATCAATCTCTCAACCAGATTGAAGCAGCCAAATAATATAGAGGTCGACTGCAATAGCTTTATTTGTACACTCCAACAGGCAGCGAAAGAATCCACACCATTCATAGACTGTGCTTACAAAACAAAAGATATCCCCGTTGAAATAAAGAAGCTAGTTGCAGAGAAGAGAAGAGCACGATAAATTTGGCAACGTACCCGCACGCCAGCCAGCCGAACAAAGTAACCTGCTGTAATAAGCTAAAGTCTAAACTTCAAGAAATGAGGAATGCCTCCATAGAAGGCTACGTATCTCTCACGAGACAAGATAACTCCATATGGAAGCCCATAAAAGCTAAGAGAAAACCTCATTCTACATCACCCCCAATCCGTAGCCAAACAGTAGCTAATGGTCAATGGGCAAAAAGCGATAAAGAAAAAGCTGACGCATTTGCACAACACTTTGCCGAAGTGTTCATCCCACACAATGACGATCCAGTGCAGGAAGTAGATGAAGCCAATCTCATCCATCTTTTAACTCAAGAACGGTTAGCACCTTTCTCTCCGAAGGAATTACAAAATGAAATAAACAGGCTAAATATAAAAAAAGCTTCCGGAGCTGACATGATCACAGGCAAAATGTTACAAGAACTTCCCAAGAAAGGCTCGATGAAATTGCTTTATATATTTAATGCGATTATACGGCTAGACTACTGGCCCATGTCATTCAAGAGTGCGCTAATAATTATGGTACCGAAACCAGGAAAAAATCTAATGGATATTAGTTCTTATCGCCCGATCAGCATGTTGCCAGTAATTTCTAAGCTTCTAAGACTTATCCTCAATAGAATAAATGGCCAACTGGATCGGCTAGCTTGGATCCCTAATCATCAGTTTGGCTTTAGGCCGGCTCACTCAACTGTGCAGCAGTGTCACCGCCTTTCGGATATAATCGCCAAATCCTTCGAAAGAAATGGATACTGTCCGGCAGCCTTCCTAGATGTGAAGCAGGCATTTGACAAAGTGTGGCATCCAGGCTTGATGCATAAAATAAAGAAAGTATTGCCATCTAAGTACCTCAAGTTGCTACAATCCTACTTAAGTGACCGCTGCTACAAAGTTAAAGTAAACAGTGAGACTTCAAGCTACTACCCTATCAAATCAGGAGTCTCACAGGGCAGCATACTGGGTCCCTTACTATATGTCGTATATACAGCGGATATACCCACAACAACTGAAACAACAGTTGGCACATTTGCAGACGATACGGCGATTATTGCAACTGATGAAGATCCCGACCACGCTTCAAGTAAACTACAGAGGCACCTAGACGACATAGGAAGTTGGCTGAACAAATGGAAGATCAAAGTCAACGAAACCAAATCCACCCACATCACCTTCACTCTCTGCGAAGGACAATGCTCAGCTGTTTCCTTGAATCAAGTCACCACACCTCAACATGCAAGTGTTAAATACCTGGGATTGCACATGGACGACAAAATAAACTGGAAGCAACATTTATCCAAGATAAGAAATCAGATGGACTTGAAAAGTAAAGAGTTAAATAGGGGAAATCAAAACTAAGCATAGAAAACAAGTTAATGATATACAAAGCCATCATCAAGCCCATTTGGACTTACGGGATCGAACTCTGGGGCTGCGCTAGCAAGTCAAACCTTTCAATCATTCAACGAGCTCAATCAAAAATCCTTAGAAGCATTGCAGATGCGCCTTGGTATGTCTCAAATGAAACGCTCCATAGGGATCTGAAAATCCCATTCATCAGGCAAGTCATCATGGAAAGAAGTTGCAAACACCATGCTGAGCCTAGCGACCATCCAAACAAACTGCTGCCATCGCTAATAGATCCCACTGAGGCCAGGAGACTGAAAAGGAAATTGCCACTAGACTTGCAAGACTGAGGTGACATCGTTGGATGTCTGCTTGATCCCGTCATGAGGTACAACTACTTAAAAATTGTACCATCCAGCAAATTAGCTTATAGAATGTACATACATTCTGATCGATAAAAAATCTCCATCACTATGCATCGGATCTTAAAAGATGTAAAAAATATCCACCATACATTTGTCCACGATTCTTGTGGGATAAACTTTTTTCTTACAGTCAACTTACAGGGTTGGAAAGTAAAAATTAAAAGTTTTGTTGTTTTAGTTTAGGCAGCAGCGGTGGCTGCAGTAGTAGACTCTTCAGTTTCCTGATCAGTCGCCGTGCGCTGTGCGGGTTCGAATCTCGTCCCAGGAGAAATTTTTCTCTTCGCTATGGATGTTGTGATTGTCCGTAGGTGGTAGACGGTCTCTGACTGTCAAACGCGGAGGTACCACCCGGCGGATCTCGTAGGCGGAGTCAGAACGGGTGCATGTTGCATGCACACGTGTTCCCTCGCCAAAGTCTGTGTGGCGTTCCCCCTTTCCCCTGTATCCCCCTATAGCCCCACGGTACCCAATGGGTGTTTAGGCCTTAGGCCTTCGTGGTAGTTGGAGTAGAAAAAAAAGCGTTTCTATTATTTTATTCATGTAAGAAGTAAAGAATACTGCTGTTAAAATGCATTTTTTGGACACAGCCATAGTCTTCTTCATTAAAGCGACGATGTGAAGTGAAAAAAAAATAGGATCCAGGTACGGATCTTTGCGGGATACCAGTCGGAAACGGATCCAAAAGTCTGATAGACCGTGAAGTTTGCAATATATTATTTATATTATTTCAGATCACACAAATAAATGAAATGGTTCGTGAACTAGAGAATCTTCAAAAAGTCATTCTTAATTTGGACTTGCAATTAGCCGAACTGAGAGAGAAGCTTTCCGCTTCCAACAATGAGGTTAAGAGGGAGATAGAGAAAAATAGAAGGATGAAAAAAGCCCTTCAAGCAATCAGAATCGACATACATCATGCTAGTGGTCTTATAAAAAATGTCCCAGCACTACAAAAAGCTGTACGAGACATGTATCATAAGTATGACGCTGACAAAGATTTTGAAGTTACGCAAGCGGAAGATACTGAAGCCAAAAGCGAATTTCTACGACAAAGAGATTTCTTGGAAAGAACGGTGGCTACCTTGCACTATCAGGTAATGGGGCATTTTCCGAAATCTTTATTTCGACGGAATATCAATATTTCACTCCAAAAAGTGTATTCTTTTTTGTGTAAACGTGAAGTGGCAAAACTTGCAAAGTTCAAACGAAAACTGAATTTCTAACGTGCACCATACTGAAGTGAAGCTTAGGTACGAAAACGTTTAGTGGTGTGACGTTAGATGTAAGAAGAGATCACCTAGGAAACATTTTCAAAGTCCAAACACGAAAAGTAGAATGCATAGACTTTTTAGTGTGTAATATTTGATATTTCTAGAATATGAAGCGGAAGAAATAATTCCAAAAATCGGATTTCTAATCTAAAATTAGCTAAAGCTTTATTAGGTACCTGAGGGTAATAAGGCCCACCAGAAAATAAGACCCAACCTAGTCATTACGCATCTAAATAAATTCAATACTCCTAACGACCTCTATTGCCTAAGGGCAGTATGAGTGAAGCATCGAATATTGCACAGTTATGGTTAGACGATCGTGTAGTTAGTTCTGCGAAGGTGTTTGTGTCGGTGTGAGTTCGGTAAGTAATTTTATTTATTCTAAATAACTTAATAAGATTTTGCTGGTATAAATTATCAACTACAATTGGTAGACATCAAGAGAGATACCATACTTTTATCAGATTCTTAGTTTTTTTAATTATAACCTCAAATTCAAAATGCGATGTTTTACAGGTATCAAGGCACGGGCCTTATTTTCTGCATACATATGTAAATATTTTCATTTGCAGAAGATGGGTAAAACAAATAAACATTTACGTGCAAAGTGGACAGCAAAAATGATATCCGATGCTATGGACTCACTAAGGCCCGTATCGTCAGTCGACCCTACAATTGTAGGGCGCGTTTATGGCCTCCTTGATTGTCATACTCCTTTCTCTCCTTCAAAAATTTCTAGATTACACTTGTCCCGTGTCAGCGTCAGAGCTCTCCTATTGTGAAGATTCGTTTTACCTTTTAAATTGTAGGAAATTTCAGGCTAATAAAACATGATATAACTCAAAACCAAGCACAATTTGATGCAAATTGATGTTTGTGACATAACCTCAAAATAGAGCGCTGACACGGAGAAGTAGAAAACTATGACAATCAAGGAGGCCATAAAGGCGCCCTGCAATTATTGTAGGGACGACTGACGATACGGGCCTAAACAAGGGAAAATCGCAAAGGTACGTTTCATAAAAATGTGGCATTCCAAGGTGGACTCTCAGAAGCCATCTCAAATCTCAAAGCTCTGAGCGTAAATTAGGAAGAAGCAGAATCCTTACAAAAGAAGAGGAAGCTGACCTAGAAAGCAAGATTGTAAGGATTACCACTGACCCCAAAATGTTTGGGGCGATCTGTGTTCAAATATGACGAGCAGAAAAACATAAAACATTGTTTCAGTACCCTCAACTGGCGGCTAGGGATTGGATCAGAATTTTAAAAAAAAAATCAACCTGAGATTTCAAAACGCAGATCCCAAATAATGAACCGTGCAAGAGCACAAGAGTGGAATCGCCATATTGTAGAGGATCACTTCACAAAGTTAAATGAATTGGTAGTGCGGACAGATTTTAAACAACAACGTGAAAAAATCTACATTATGGACGAAAAGGCCTGTCGCCTAACGTTACACCATAAACAAAAAAGGCGTTAGCAGCGGAAGGCTAAAAACTTTTTTTTTATTAGAAGATGCTCCTCTAAATGTGAGACAGAATATGTGGTTCATGATATGGTTCCACCACATTTTAGACAAGAAGTTCATGAACATCTAAATAATAAATTTCCGATTACATGGATAGGGCGCAATGGGCCCATTTCTTGGCCTGCTCCCTCCCCGGATTTAACGCCTTGCGATTTTTTTCTGTGGGTCTATTATTAACATTATGGAACAATAAATACTATGGAAGAACTTTAACAGCGCAATGAAAATCCTTGTGATTTAATTTGTGGACACCAGGATTTTATTTTCGAAGTTTGTGGATTCGCCGTTAATCGAACAAATGGGGACAATTTTGAACAGTATTTCTAAAAACGGTAACCATTTAGCTTGATAAGGATCCTTTTTTTTAATAATTCTTAATAATTTGAACTAACTCTCTTATTATGCAACTTTTATATAGGTGATTTTTGGTATATCAACTTCTTTTCGCGACTTCTACAAGCTGTCAAAATAAATGACTATGAAAACACCCTGTATAACTTTTAGATTTACTTGTTCTAACTTTGTAATATGTTTTAGAAAAATAAATGCTCAAACCTCTATTTTGCAACTTTCAAACATCTGAAAATTCTTATAATTCTTTAACAAAAGAATATTTAATATTACATGGGCCTTATTACCCTCAGGTACCTCATCTTGTTGGACACATAATGATACTCGTATATTGCAACATAAAGACAAGCCCACTTTGTCCATAGCTCGGAATCCGTAGATGTTTATTTTGTACGTCTGTATACGCCTGCTAACGTAAATACTCGTATATGTCGCACTTCTTACTGCAGCTTGGCCAAAGGCTACCAAGGCTAAAAAATAGAATTTCACATTGCAATATCTTGATCATGTTTGACCTCTGTGCAATCTATCACTGTCACTGTCCGTTAAAGTCAACGAATTCAGACTAGGTAGAAGGGGCGCCTACGATTTGTTTGTCTCTACGAGTAAAATATTTGTAGTAGGGACTAAAGTACATAATACAAGTGGACCTGACATAAGTTAATTTTTTGACAGTTCTGTCATTAAATTATTGTTTTCAGTCTTATTTTTTAAAAGCTCGTACTATTCGTCATTTGCTTGTCTGGGTGGTCCGTAGGACCTTTGCCCATTTGTCACTGTCTAGTGTACGTTAGTCGAATCTGACAGTCCTGGTTGCCCAGAAACCAGACATTGCCAAGGGAGATGACAAAAGGAGAAAAGCAAAGAAAAACAGAAGTGTATTAGCTTAGGAGGAAACACCTAGGCTTTTTGACTTTGTAGATGGATTAATTTTGAGGTGAACTAAAATAAAATTTTGATTCAGGTTTTATTAGAGTGTAATTTTGGGTTCACTAAAAGTTCGCGCTAATTTTTTGATCACAGTGCGAGCCGTTGCCTTAAATGTTTACCGACTTGCTCCACTGTGTAGTTCACTGAGACACGTAACAGAGAGTTGCTGTGCGATTCCGCTACACTGCGCTGCTGACATAATCCCTCAAGGAAGGAATATCAAGGTCTCTGTGCATTGTCTAGTTTGAGACATACCATGGAGCGTTGCAAATTTTTCGTAAAGTTCTGTTCTGCAATACTTGAAGACTTTGCCTGTGCGTCTTGGCAAGAATACACGAAGCCGCACATGCGTAAGTAATAGCTGGTCTAGCAATCATTTTATATAGTCGAACTTTGTGTTTGCGGATAATTTCTTGCATAATTTGCAAAGAGCGGATACAACTTGTTACTTTGGTAGGCAATGGTAGACAAATGAGTAAAACGTATGCACTAAAACTACACAATAACACAATCTTGGTGACAAACAATGCAGTGTAAACATACAGGCCTGACTCCTAACCGATTTGAATTCGTTATACCGTATTTCACAAGTATCTATCACGCTTTCACGTCTACTGAGGTGAACAGCTGATCAGCAAATGACATTTTTGAGTTAGTATGCCACATTGACAATAACGAATTGGGTGTAAATCTAGTGAAACTTGTTTGTAGCGTTTTGTTTTTTGTATGCAAACAAACTTTTCTACATAAAAGAGCTGTTAGCAAGTACAAAATTAACCTGGAGCGTACAAAAAACCAAAACAAAATACGGTTGACGGATCCGTCATAATTATGTGTCCCGTGTCGATATGGGGAATTTTGAGGTATTACTAGATACTTAATCGACCGGCATTCTACCGTGATGGCTACTCGTGAAATAGGGCATAATTAAAGTTTATAGACGAGGAAATTTAGTCTTGAGCTGCAATTGTGTCTGTGTGCCACTTAAGCACGCAGCTTTATAAATGCAGCTTGAGACTTCAGGTCAAGGCTAGGCATCTTAAGCTTTAGCGTGCCGTAATAAGTTCGGTGGTTCAAATTCATATTTCTTATTATACTTTAGGTCCAGTCCGAAGACATCACTTTGTTTATTTACTATGTAGTCCGGCCCTGGATTACTAGCCGCACACCAAGTTAAAAGACAAGAGATCCCCGCTCCCGTCCCGTCGCGTTCCGGTCTTGCATGTTGAGTCATTCGGTTTTTGGTGTTACAGCCGTACGGTCGCTCGGCTTGTTTGTGCGTTAGGAAACACGTAAAATACGCGATTCCTTTTCAAATCGGTTTAGTGCTTGGTGAGTAGGTTGGTAAGCATGTACAACAATGGGTTGTTTTGTTGCTCATCTATGTAGTAGCACGTTATATATAATATAAGATATACTTAGCAGAAAACCATGGAGGAAAAACCTGGCGGCAGCGACCACGTCAATGGTTCCATGAAATCTCAGTTTTTTTAAATTGGCGGCTGCGCCAGAAAATTGGTATACGTATATGATATATGCACATTTTTAAAGAAATATGCACAATTTCTATTGACATCTTTGCACAATTCAAAATCTATCGAGAACAACACTGTCAAGGTCCCGTTCGCGGAGTAGCATCAGTCGTAGTCGATCACCGAGCATGTCGAGGCGACGTAGAGAGAGACGAGAATATGTGCGGGAAAAAACCAGAATTCATCCAGCCCAGCTGATAATGCACAGCGTCAGGTAGGCCTAGCTGGTCGTTCCCCGTACGGGCCGGAAGCTCAGGTACTGACATGGGCGGATTTGGGAGCGGCGCCAACAACGCAAAACAGTATGGACGATGTTTTGATACTTGACGATGCCGATTGTATGCCATTATCAGAGGACACATTAAATATTCTGGGTGCCGATCCTGAAAAGGCTAATACGTCTAGTTTTAAACTTTACGGAGCCCTAGCCTCCAGGTGGTCCCATATTTTGGCAAACGGGCTATCCGCCGAAGATATTTCTA